ATATAACAACAACACCTCATCCATGCTTAGGCACTACAGAGCTTTGCATGAGAATAAGGGGAACACCGATTGTGGAGCAAGACCAGGTGAGCCATCAAATGCCATGATAATATAGCATGCAGTAATGTTACTAAATGATATAACAATATTATACAACTGTAATAAGTTACGTGTGTGATATTTATATTTGTGCTTTGTCTTTATTGTCTTTCCTCAGGAGAACAATCTCAAATAGATGAAGACCTGGTTAGCATGGTGATTGAGGACTCCCAGCCATTTAGCATTGTGGAGGACAAAGGATTCAAAAGATTTGTTAAATCATTAAATCCTAGCTATGTTCTCCCCACTAAAAAGGTCATAAAAGCAGTGAAAATTTAGTTTTTACAGAATAAAATGTGAACAGGCAGGACTGAGGCTCAAAGCCTCAGTGTGTAGCTGTCCATACCTCAACGTTACAAAAGCACAACCTGTCCACACCCCAACCACACCTCACCTCACAGTAAATGATCATTTCCATTTTAAGCATTTCCAAATAATCATTTTCCATACTGCCAGTATAAATATACACAGTATACTGCCATCACTACAATATACATGTTTTACACACTCCTTTTGTTGTTGACATTTACAGGCTGTGTGCAAAATGCCACACTCTTCAAATTCATGCCAACTAATATTTTTACGTCCAGTAGGTGTCCTACTAGAGCAAATGAAGCTTCAAGATGCTTTGCACTGGGGGAACCAATTGGATGAAAAGCTTCAGTGCTTCATGAAGCTTCATCTGCCCATCACTAGTGCTCCCCCTGTTGGTCCCTGGTGTTAGTGTTTCCTCTGTCTCGTCAGATAATCAGGTCCAGCTGTGTCTCACACCTGTGTGTGATTTCCCAGTGTCCCTCTGTGTGTATTTCATGCGCTCGTTACTGGTCCATCTGTTTTTGTCTCCTGGAAAACTGTCTGTGAACTTCTTGTGAATCCACTGTGTGCCCTCCCTGCTGTCCCCCTTTGTGTTCCAGTTGCTGTTCAATAGTTTAGTTTCTCCCAGTTTAGATTATCCTTAGTTCTGTTTTTGCCATCCCCACGTTGCGTTTGCCTTTTGCAATAAACCTCCCTCACAACTCCAGTAAATGCCTCCATTCGAGTCCTCTTTCCCACTGTGTCTCCTGTCAGTGTGTCTAGTTTGGCTTCCCCTGGTCTTATTGTGTGTGATTACTCCCAGCTGTGCTCTCCTCCTGTGTCCCATCCCTCGTCATCCATCTGTGTGTTTTAGCTTTGCTGTGTGTGGTTCCCCCTGAGATCGCCGGCCCTAGTTTGTTGGTTTTGCAGTGTTTTGTATTTAGTTCCCAGTTCCTAGTTTTTGGTTTTGCAAGTATTATTTTGGGTCCTACATCCTGCCTGCCACAGCCGTTTCATGACAGAACGACGCAACCACACAATGGACCCAGCAGCACTCGTGCCGTCTGAAGAGCTGGATCAGACGTGGATCAGCTATGCAACCAGTGGCTGGATTTTCCTGAGGAGGAGTATCGTCGCTGGTTTCTGGTCTCCCCTGGCTACTGAATTCTCTTCAACTGCTTATACAGGACTGTCTTCTTAATACACTGCATCTCCACCCCCCAGCTGCAACCGCTTACCTGCCCAGCCTGCAGGAGGACGAATCAGGCGATTCGCAGGGTCCTCCCTCTTTCCGGAGAAAACGGCCTTCACGCCGCCGTCACCCCTCGCTTGCTGAGCAATTTCAAGTGGTGAGTGATAATGACTGTTTACGCACACTCAGCCCGCGAGCGGCCAGCTCACACCAGCACAGGCTTTTTATAAAGCACTGGGGCGCAGCCACATCAGAACTTCTCCACATCACCATCAGTTTCCCCTGCCTCTCCACCTCCTCCTTCTCGGTGGAAGCGATGTCCATGCCATGGGCAGTCATCCCCAGATGTGGTGAATCAAAAAGACTGTGTTCCTTCTGAGCCGGGACTTAACCGTGTGTCAGTCATTCCTGAGTCTATAAACTGTCTGCTAACTCCGGATTTATAAAGTTAGAAATCATCAATTTCTTCCGAGGCCACATTTTCTGGCTCCATGGATTGTAGAGGAGTTTCTCCTGCTCCTTCAGAGCCCAGGGATATAATAACACATACAGTTAATGTTGGCTTCGAGTCTGGGAGACTGATTTTCCCCAGGGCTTCCCCTGACTTGAGTTGCTGACCTCAGCTGGCTCTGGACCCCCGGAGGTCACAGAATCTGCACAGATTCAGTTATTTTGGCTTAAATCTTTTCTGTATGACAGATTTCAGATTCTGATATTTAAGATATTTCCTGTTGTGATTCCATAATTTGATATAAGTTCTTGAACTGAAGTAAAGTTTTCATCTTAAAGAACATGTTCTAGGTTTTTTTTATCCCCTTCCTATGCCCTGACAGAAAAGGTAGTATTTTCTTTATGTAATGATACAAACAGGTATCAGTTTACATGGGATAAGTTTTCTTTTAATTCCCATAAGGCTGTCAGGGAGGTGTTTAAGTTAAAGCTTTATTATTATAAAGCAGTTACGATGCTTAATACTGGAACTTATGAAGGCAGATTATATATTTACAGCAGTTTTCTGACATTCTTCAACTGAGTTACAAGAGCTGATAAACGCAAATAAACGAGGGCACAGGAGATCTGTATGGCATGTCACTGAAGCAATATCTAGAGCAGGGCTGCCCAATCCCAGTCCTCGAGAGCTACTATCCTGCAGCTTTTAGATGCATCCCTACTCCAACACAGCTGAATCAACTGGTTTGATTACCTCTTCAGCATGCCATCATGTTTGGCAAAGGCCTGATAACAAGCCATTCATTTCATTCAGCTGTGTTGGAATGCATCTAAAAGCTGCAGGATAGTAGCTCTCGAGGACCGGGATTGGGCAGCCCTGGTCCAGATGAACAGAATCAAGGTTTTGGGATCTACTTACCTGAAACATTGAGCATGCACCCAGACACAGGCTTCAGTCAACACTGCATCGTCATGCTCGGTGCTGCCCAGATTCATGTTGGGTTGTCAGGGTCCTGGGACTGGGCAACCCAGGATCCCTGGGCAGTCATGGACCTGTGTATTATTATGTATTTTTAGTGTCGTTTTCCCCTTCTCGGAGCGGAGAGAGCACAGAAAACACGGACTATTCACGGAGAGACACAACACGGGAGTCTGGGAAAACACGGGGATTTCTTGTTACTTTGTTGCACACTGTAAATAAACACACTGTTTATACATAGAGCACCGCGCCTGGGTCCTCCTTCCCCACACATCCCCACGGTCTGCCAGCCAGACCGTGACATGGGTCTTGTGTTATTAGAACATAGTTTTAAATCACGGAGCCCAAACAATAAATTACTGATCAGCTTTCATAGGGATTTTTTGTTTTTTCAAATACAGATAAATTATAAAAATATTTCACTGTTTATCAAAACAGGGAATGATATTTTCCCCACTGCTGGATGTTATTGTTGCGGGTCTCTCTATGAACACTGTGAATGTTTGTAAATAAACAACTCTGCCCTTCAAACAGTCAAAAGTCATTTGATTTGCACAAACCGGACTTTGAGAGTAAAGAGTTGCATGCAGGGGTTTGGAGCTGCTGCAATGCTTGCGATGCAACACTTTCATGTGCACGGTGCCTTCTTTGTGCTCGTGGAAAGTGGACGCAGTAAATTCTGCACGTAGGAAATTAATTTTTTTCTCATGCTGAAGTTTTGAACTATAAATACACAATGCTGCAAGTCGTCAGAGCTGTTCTGGAGCGAGGTCGATACAATGTTACTCGTGGTTTTGATGTTTTGGCTGGTTTGTATACACAGACACTGAATTACTGAGTCTGGGACTCTGTGCAGACAACTTCACACTACAGTGTGTCTGAGCCTGAACTATGTGTGTTTTACCTTAATCCGACTGACAGCTTCCTGTGCCTGCATCATTCGGATGTTCTTCGATGGTGTCTTATCTGATAGCAGCTGAGTGGAGCCAAGATAGTTGGCTGCAAAGATGATTCCATCAATTAGGTCATCTGGGTCACAGGGACCTGGAACTGGAGTATGACACAGAGTCACTACATGATACACACATACACAAAAACGCATAAAGGCTATACATAAGTGATTTTCCTTCAGATAGGAACAGCTTCTCCTCAGGCTGAGTTTGACTTTTTATAGGATTAAAGTCCTGAGGAAACATTAAGCACCCTTACTGCTTCCATAGGAATGAACAGGGTACAGCAAGGTGATGATAATGACGCGCACGTGATTAAATGATCAACAGCAAGTGTAACCCCATCATTAAAAATAGAACTTCTGACAGTTTGGGGCTCTGAAGCAGTCAGAGCTGAACAAACCAAAGTGGAAATGTTTGGTCACATCTAGCAAAACCACACACAGCATATCAGTGCATAAAGTCACTAACTGCCAGCCACAGTGGTGATTGGGATTTGTAGCCATAGGAACTACGCAGCTTGCAGTCACTAAGTCATCCATGAACTCCTCAGACGGGAAACGATCTGTCCAATAGCTGATGCTTGGCCAAAGCGGGGTCAGCGAACGGCTGATAAAGAAAAGGGGCTGCTATAGGCCGGGCAAAGTCCTGACCTCAACTCAAGAACTGTTCACAAGCAAATGCCAGCAAGCTACAATGAACTAAAGATCCACAATGATGTAACCGTGTCGTAAAGTCATACAGATAAAATATTTAAAGTCATTGCTGCTAAATGTTGTGGTAGAGAACAGAGACTCACTGGGTGTATTTGTTTGCTCATCACTGCAACAGTATCCATGTTTCCAACATGTAACAACATCATCGACCTCTGTGGGAGCAGAGTTCATGTAGCTGCTCTGCTCTGTCGGTACGTGGCAGACCAGTGGCTCCACACTGTTCTTGCTGGGCCCCCCTTTGTTTTACAAGAAAAATGTTCACGACCTTTTCTACTTCCAGAGCATCAGTGATTTCAC